GTTGGTGTGTGGACAGTAGAGGAGAGGAGAGAGCAGGAACCAGGACTCCACCTGGTGCAGCACCTGTAGACTGTGACAGACCAGGTGAGACTGTTCCCCCCCAAAGATTTATGTAAGCAGTTCCATTTGTTTGGTTTTCTGTCTGTCTGTTTGTTAGCAATCTAGCGTTCCAAACCAGAGACATCATTATCCTTATGGGAGATTTTAATGTGAACCCAAGATTGGGTTTGACAACACAGGATATGAACAAATCATAGGGATACATGGGCTGGGAGTGATGAATGATAATGGGCAGAGATTCGTTGATTTGTGTGCATTCAACAACCTGGTCATCGGAGGTAGCATTTTTCCGCACAAGTGGATCCACAAAAGAACCTGGGTATCACCGGACAGTGTGACAGAGAACCAGACTGACCACATCAGCATTAGCAGGAAGTTTAGAAGATTTCTCCAGGATGTTAGGGTGAGAAGAGGAGCAGATGTGGCATCTGACCACCATCTTGTAGTAGCCAACATGCAGCTGAAGTTAAAGAAGAACTGGACAAAAACAACACGGCGTAGAGCGAAGAATGATGTCAGTCGAGTAAAGATAAAGGGAGGAGTTCGGTTCAAGAGCAAGATCAAGGTGCTTAATTAGCTGCACCAGGGAGAGGAGAAATGCAGCATACAGGCCAATTGGCAGACCATAAAGAAGACACTGAGAACAATCAGTGAAGAAGTGGTCGGAATAAAGAAACAGCATCATAAAGAATGGATCACAGCTGAGACCTTGGGCAAGATAGAAGAGAGAAAACACAAGAAGGTGGCAGTAAACAACAGCAGGACTAGGGCAGACAAAGCCAAGGCCCAAGCGGAATAGGCAGAAGCCCACAGAGCAGTGACAAAGAGCATTAGGAAAGACAAGAATGTCTATATAGATGGAATGGGAGCTGAAGCAGAACAGGCAGCATACAATGGTAACATGAAACACCTTTACGCAATAATCAAGAAATTGTCTGGGAAGTACAGCAAGCCAGAACGACCCATCAAGGACAAAGAGGGAAAGGCCATCAAAGAACTAGTGCAACAGATGAAAAGATGGTCTGAACACTTTGAGGAGCTCCAAGAAAAGACCAGCATATTGGCAGCCACATCAGCACAGGTTGGACTCATCAATCAACAAGGAGAAGACCAAAATCCTTAGGATCAACTCCAATAGTAACAACCCAGTCATCCTTAGTGGAAGTCCCCTGAGGAAATACACTCTTTTACTTAACTAGGTGGAACCGATGCAGATGTCAAGACAAGGATTGGCAAAGCAAGAGCCGCCTTCATCCAGCTCAAAAACATTGGGGCATCCAGAGAGATGACCCTGACTACCAAGATCCGACTGTTCAACTCCAACGCGAAGTCAGTACTGCTGTAAGGGGCTGAAACCTGGAAGACAAATAAAACCTCAAATAGAAAAATCCAGACATTCCTCAACAGCTCAGAAGGATTCTCCACATTCGCTGGCCAGACACAATCAGTAACATCAAACTATGGGAAATAACCTGTCAACTCGCTGCTAAGGAAGAAATCAGGCAGAGAAGATGGTGCCGAGTAGAGCAGGGCGATATGGCCAAAAATATTTATCACGATATATACTTGAAAATTTGCGATAACAATATAACTGACGATATAATTGATGCGAGACAAAATACAAAATACAATTCCACAACTTTAGTAGCGCAAAAAACCCATCCATTTATTTTCACTTAAACAAGCAGCTGTTTTTTATGTGAATTAAAGCTATATAAATATTTAACAGTGCAAATGCAAATTCCTTGCTGAAAGTTTAACCAAAAGCATTTCGAGTAGAAATGGGCTGACATATCCTGAGCATAACCATGTATAATATCCACTAAAGGTAATTGGTGTCTCGGCAACAAAAGTTCACGTAAATGGCTGATACCTGAGCATAACCATGGGTATAACTATCCACTGAAGTTAAAAAGAGGTGCTTTGCAACATTAAACTGCAGTGTGCCAAATAAAAAAGTCAAATAGTATTTTTCGGACCATAAGGTGCACGGGATTATAAGGCACATTAAGCGAAACAAAGCAGTCAGATAAATCAAACTTTATTCAACTCATTCTTCTTGCTTCCTCCACTTCTGTACCATTGATTCATTAATGCTGTATTCTATCACAGCTGCTCTATTCCCATGTTGTTGCAGTATATTAATGACTAACCTCGTATTGTGGATGGATTATCTCAGTTGTTCTCCTGACTGAAGTTTGGTCCGTTTACAGCATCCTGCCATGCGATTGCATTTGTCTCTAACCATCAGGAACCCTCACGTTAACTTTTATCGAGTGGAAAAGTGTTAGCATTCATCCTCCAGCTTCACTGTTTATGTTATGCTAACATAGCTGTGTTGCTAGCGATCAGAGATGGGCAGTAACGCGTTACTTGTAACGCGATTACTGTAATCTGATTACTTTTTTCAAGTAACGAGTAAAGTAAGGGATTACTATTGCAAAAAGGTAATTAGATTACCGTTACTTTCCCGTAGGAACGCTGCGTTACTGCGTTACTAAAACCGTGATTTTTTGCGAGAATGTCTCACGACAGTGACGTAAGCGAGTGCGCCGTTAGTGACAACAGCTGTGTGCAGATCAACAATGGATCACATATCGATTGTGGGAGAGAGTATGAGCGTGCAGCGTTTAAAGCGTGGAAGTACTGACCTTACTTTGAGTTTGATTCCATAAAAAGTGACAAAAACATTAGCGTCCATTGTGCGTGGGAAGAAAACTTCTTTTTACAGCGAAAAAAACCCCTAAACTTCCAAGCAAGCACCGAGTGCGCAACGACGTAATGGGAAACTCACAGAGAAATCGCGGATTCTTCAACTGACCGCGGCACACCTGCACCAGGGTAAACCTCCGCCTACCGCAGTCCTGCTTTACAGGTGAAAATAGAGCAACAGGACCGCTGAGTCTTTGACTTTATTTATTTTCTGCTGTGTTTTACTTGCATCTATTTGAAAGAGTGAGTGTAAACACAAAAAAATATTTTATTTTATGTGCTGGAATGTGCAGAAAATAGGTTTAAATGTTAAACTAATTTATTCAAGTCAGAGAATGTTGCATATAATTAAATTTTTGCTTGATGCATAAAGTTAAAAGATTAAAACTGAATAAAACAAGTTATAAAAAGAGACTTTTCCATTTGATTACATTTTGTATGATGGATTATGCAGAAAAAGTAGAATTGGGCTGAAAGATCTATCGCTTTATCACCTCTTCAGGTTGTAAATCGTGTTTTTAAAAAGTAACTAAGTAACTAAGTAATTAATTACTTTTGAAAATAAGTAATCAGTAAAGTAACGGGATTACTTTTTGGGGAAGTAATCAGTAATTAGTTACTGATTACTTTTTCAAGTAACTTGACCAACACTGCAGGTCAGTAGCACATCCATTATATACAGCTAGCCCAACTTCAGTAACCCTACAAACTCACTGCTGTTAGTTTTCTGTCTTCATTTATGTTGGAAGTATAGCAGAGCTGTACGTTAATTTTTTCAGAAATCTCTCAGTCAGAACATGCTATATCATGCTTAGCTCGCTAGTTTCGCTGGCTACCTAACTTCCTCAAACTTCCTGCTAACTTCTAACTCCGTTAAATGTAATAAATTCTGTTTTCATGGATGCTTGGATGTTAAACTTAATTGTTACACCTGGTAAAGCAGCAATGCTGATCATTTTATTAAAGGTGAAATAATTTCGACAGTTTTTAACTCTCAATGTGCCGCAGTGTTCGTTTGACTTTGGGACCTGAAGCGGACGGAGTTTTGGACCCAGATTGCTCCCAGATTTACGAGCACCTTAGTCCGACAAATACAGCAATAACGACGGCCCGCTTTGCATGTTCTACAAAAAAAATGTGCTTTGGTGGGTATCTTACGGACAAACACCAAACCAGTTCCACACCACTGAAGGTGCACCATTTTTACAAACCAATTCTGGTTCATCCGTTTCACTCAACGATCCGCTTTCCCCCTTCTCATTCTCCGTTGCCGCCATGCTTTTTCGGCCATGTGCGTATGAAAACAAAGGCACTGCGCATGCGTGTTTTACCCATATTCTATCGCGATATTTTATATTCTTATCGTTGCCTAACATTATACCAGTATTACTGTGAACGGTATAATATGGCCCAGTCCTAGTGCTTGGCAGGGCACGCTTTATGCAAAATACCAACCAACATAACCAGGCAGGCTCTCAGGTGGAATCCCCAAGGCAAGTGAAAGAGAGGTCGCCCAAGAAACACCTGACGACAGGACCTTGAGGCAGAAGCAAAAAAGATTGGCTACACCTGGACCCAACTAGAAATAATGGCCCAGGACAGAAATCTCTGGAGATCTACAGTACCTTTGGAGGCCCATACCCTGGGAGGGGTGACACACAGTAATAATAGCGTCCACAAATATTAAAGTTTTAGTGGAGTCCTTTTCTTTCAGGAGCAGTTGTTCTCTCTGGGTGCTGTTGGTATTCCAGTGGCCCGTACTTCATTCAGATTGTTTTTATTCAGATTTATTTCCTGTTGGCACAACAAAGCATCAATTTCCTTTTTTCTTTTTTCTCATTCAGTTCAACCAGAGCGTGCTAAAACTCACTGTGAGCACCACAGAGACCACGTAAAGACCACCAGTGCTGATGGATATCCTATAACTGGAGTCTACAAACCACAGTGTGATGCAGAAGGACAGTATCTACCTCAGCAGGTGAAACTCTGACTTTTTATTTATTTAGTGAATAACTACAGTTTTTTCTTTGGTTTTTATCAGTGATTTCTTTTTGTTCTTCTTAAGACTCTTTTTATTGGTGTTAGTTTAGCTCACGTGGTTGAGCAGGCAACTTTATGCTGAAAAGCTCAACACAGCAGTCTATGTTCGACTCTCACTCAGGGAGCTTTGCTGCGTGGTTTCCACCACTCTTCCTCCCTTCTTTCATGTCTGAAAACTCTTCACTGTTTATCAAATAAAGGTCAGGATTCCCCAAAATGGAATGTATTTCTCATCTTTATTTCAGTGCCATGGCTCCACTGGCTATTGTTGGTGTGTGGACAGTAGAGGAGATGAGAGAGCAGGAACCAGGACTCCACCTGGTGCAGCACCTGTAGACTGTGACAGACCAGGTGAGACTTCTTCACCCCCAGCCCCCTCACCTCTCACAACCAGTTTTAAATCACCAAGAATACAACAGACAAAATGCCTAAAATATATAGTCTATGAACTGCAAACGAGGTTTATTATTTCATAATGACAACATTTCTCACTCACATTTGGTTCAGGATCTGAAGATATCTGACCCACATAGGCAATTTGTCTGATTTAGTCATACTGACAAATTTCTTTTGTTCAAATTCAATTGTAGACTTTTTTTCTATCTGCTTTTATCTGCTCCCACACAACTCATAATAATTGCCATCCTAGTTTGCCAGTCTGCAGATGGAACTGATGGATCATCCAGTTGTTGCTCTTTTCCAAACCACCATATTTAGTGGGTAGTCTGAACATTAAATAGAAGCAAAACCAAGTGATCCTGAAGACTAAATTGCAACATGCTAACTGCCACTATAATAAATACTTCTGGAAAAGCTAACTGCATTAATATTTTGGTTTGTCTTTATCTCGCAATAGAGAACTGTTCCCTTTCAAATTGTGTCCTCCTCTCCTTCTCAGTCTACAAACAGCAAAGTCTCACATTCAAAATTGACACTGAGAGAGCGAGGCTAGCGTAAACACAAGTAGAAGCCAGAAATGCTCTGAGGTTTAGTTTTAATGCTCTCCAATAAAGCGAGTCATTAAAGGGATTTGAACGCGGTAAACATTTCTGACAAAAGTACGATGTGTGTATATGTGTGCCTCTTTAAACACGAAGCATCCCCTCACCATTAGCTTCCAACTAACACTGTAGTATAAACTCAGCAAAGTAGGGAACATCCTGAGAATACAATTGAATAAATAATGATGAACTACAGAGGAATATCATCTGACTTGTAATTTATCTTTAGCTTTATGAATGGAAGTACTGATGGGTTGTTTTGGGGTTTTTGGCTTCCCCTTAGTTGCAGTGACTCCAACAGAACGCCCTGAGAGCATGTGTGAGCGATGGAGAGCCAGTTTGATAGAGCACTATGGTGGGAAACCTGGCCCACAGCAGTATGTACCTCAGTGTGAGCCAGATGGAGAGTTCAGGTAAGCAGCAGATATGCAGTCATCAAAGGAAGTTCTCAAGAAAAAAATAATTGCATTGCTGTTTAAAAGTCTTCTGATTTTTCCGTTTGCCTGCACCATCCCAGTCCAGTCCAGTGTTACGGGGAGACCAACTACTGTTGGTGTGTGGACCAGAATGGACGCATGGTTCCCGGAACCAAATCAGATGATGCTGTCAAACCTGCATGTAAGCAATAATCGTCAAAGATATATGTCATTGTACTGTATTATATAAGTTTTGTCTTTCACTAATTGTGACTCAAACATTTTTATCCATCCAATTACATCCCAGGCATCTCGTCAGTGCCACCGCCTACGGTGCGTCCAACATCCCGTCCAGATGTCACCCCTCCCATAAACACTGGCATCACACTGCTGTACGCTCAGGGCCAGAAAATAGGAGCGCTGCCTCTCAACGGGACCAGACTAGACGAAAGCCGATCCAAAACACTATTGGCTCTACATGTAAGAAATTAATGGGTAGATCACATACTCTATAAAATTATTTTTTTAATCTTTGTTAATTTTTGTGATAAATTTGTTTGCTACTTAAAAGAAAGAAAGAAAAAAAAACTGTCAGCATTATGTCTTAAGCAGAATTATGTCTTAGAATTATAAGTAAAAACTGACTTCACATCGTGTATTTCAAATTGTATGTCATTGTAAATACCCTGCACCTCGATTCTAGAAAATATCTGGCTAGTATAATAAATATTATGTATATAAATATAAAATATTACATATTTGGGTAGAAAGTTTTAAATTTGTCAGATATATAAATATGGTGTTTTAGTTATTTTGTTTAGTTATTTCTAGTCATCTCAGGGCACTTTATACTTTAGGAAAAACTACCTAAAATATTAGAGAAAGAACCCCAGGGAATAGGCAGTCCCCAATAAGCAAGCACTTGGTGACAGCGGGGAGGAAGAATTTCCTTTTATAACAGGAAGAGACCTCTTGCAGGATCAGGCTTAGGGAGAGGCAGCTATCTGTCTCGACCAATTTGGTGATGGGAAAGAGAGACCACAATAGAAGAAAAGCACATAGTTCATAGTATCTATAACTAACTTTGAGTTTTGTTGTTGGTTCACACCATGACCAAAATGTTGGAGGTGAGTTCTCATCTTTGAGGTACACTTGTGTGAACTGATGTATGTCAACACTTGTGAAGCTTGTATTTATGTGTGCGTCTCCAGGGTTCCATAGTTGTTGGTATAGCCTATGACTGCAAGGAAAACCAAGTCTATTGGACAGATTTGTCTGCGAGATCAATCAACAGAGCTTCAATGGTGTCTGGTGCTGAGCCTGAGGTTCTCATTAACACAAGTAAGCTTTCACAGTTGTGTGGTGCTTGTTCCTGTAATGATTGTTGTGGAATGCCTTAAATGATTTCAATATCTCCTGTATGATGTCTGGATCTCTGTTCTTCTCGCTTCTGCAGATCTCGTCAGTCCAGAAGGTTTGGCAGTGGATGTCAAACGCCGGCTGATGTTCTGGGTTGACTCTACTCCTGATGTGATTGAAAGAGCCAACTTGGACGGCAGTGGGAGGAGGACCCTGTTTGACACAGACTTGGTGAACCCCCGTGCAATCATAGTGGTTTCTTCCACCGGGTAAAACCATTTGTTCATCTTTCTTTGCTTTCACTAATTTCAAAATGCCAATTTCCAGATCCGTAGTGTTATTTGAAAAAAACTGTCCTTCTTGCTGTTGACGTCAATGTGATGCACTGTCTGAAGCAACCCGTCTCTTCCTCTAACTCCTGCTCTCCTTCCCTTAAGCCCACTGCCTCCCACAAAGAGCAGATTTGAACAGATGGAGTCACAGTGACGTCTTCCGCGGGGTTCTGGATTCCCCATACGAAAGCTTCAACATTAGCCATTTAGCTGCACATGTTATTTTTTTTAAGACCCTGACGTAATCACATTTGGAAGAGATGACTGAATGTTGAGTTGTCAGCTAATGCTAACAGAGTTCTTGATAGTCTGTGCCACATAGCAAGTTGTTAGATAATTCCAATAGTAGAGAAGAGACCTAGCAAACAGTTACTAGCTACATCTGCTGTCAGCACACCTGCTAATAAAAGCAGCCAATTGTTCTTAAGATATATATTAAAAAAAACACAAACCATCCACCATATGTTCATGGATACAGATTGCTAGCCATAGCTTGGGTAAGAGATATGCGTATGCAATCTAATCTGTCGGGTTGAAACTGGCTGCAGTATTATGACAAAAAAGGTTAGGGCTTTTCGATGTCACTATCAAGAATATTTTGCTTAAATTATTTTGTCATAGTTTGAAGAATTAGAAGAATTGTAAGAAGGGATAATATGAAGTCTGCCTTGAACACAGAATACCATTGTTGAGCAGTCAAACAGAGGCATGCAGGTGATGTTCAAGAAGTACAGCGAGTTGATGGCAAACTTACATCTCAGTGTCTGCACAGCTTTCATTTTGAAAGTATTTTTCAGACTAGATAGGATAAAATGTACTGAACATTGAAATGTTTGCAGGGTTACCACTCAGTTCTCCCATACAAATAAGGATAGCCTTGGCTGAGTGTTTAGAGCAGTCTGAAGCCTCAACAACATCACAACATATGTATATGGAAAAAAATACAGAAAGGCATAAAAGCTCTACTTAGAAATGAAGAAAAGTATGTTAACATAATCTGGATTTGCAGACATGGAACAAGAAACAAACAAGAGCCCACACACTGTCTTGCAACAACCTGGAGGTGGCTCTGCTGAGATAGCCTTCACTGTATCCACAGAGATTTTATGGAAGAAGAGGGCACAGATGGTTTTCAGTCTGTTACTACGAGAATGAAAATTAAACACTAGTTCTTTAACAGGCTATGACTCAATGAGGCCTGTACCTAATTCATTAGTACAGTGCAAACTCTGTTTTAAGGCTATTTGGCAGTAAGGGGGGTTGTTGAGTCTGGATTCTAAGATTTAGACTGTGACCAAAACATGACTTCATCATTATGAGACTGGCACTCATAGAAAAAATATGGCAATGGGGATTTTTAGGTGGAGTCTGTCTTTAGTAACACATGTTTGCTAATTCTATCACAAGTGACTTTTAGTGCTGTGTGTGTCGCAGCAAACTGAGCCAAGAAGACTGTCCTGAATTTACTGATGCCATTAATCCTGGACACACACGCTCATAGGATGAAAGCAAGAGGCCTTGATTGGCCAACTCGGCAGGAATAACATCTGCTCTTCATCACAGCAACTAATCACATAATCAACAGTTATGCGCGTGCATGTTTGTGTGTGTGTGTGTTGGTTAATGTGGTTGTTACAAATGATTAAACACAGCAGCAATAACCCTGGTCATAAAACCTGAAACGTTTGCTTGACATTATTGATTTTACAGCTTAGTTTCTGACTTAGGGGTAAATATATGGGGTGTGTGTGTTCTGACAAAAACTCAGGTTTGAAAAGTAATTACTGTTCCATACGGGCACACTTATGCACTTATGATTAAGCATGTCCTCTGTGGTTTCTTAGGCTGTAAAGTGAACACATGCAGTTAACCCTAACCAATAACAGGCGAATAGACCGAATTGGGGAGGGTCGCTGAATATTCTCATCCCTAACCACGACACTCAGCGAAGCAGACACACCAAAATGACACGCAAAGGCTTTTTTAAAAGCATATACACGTGTGAACGTGTCAGACATCTGCTGCCCTGCACCTTCACCCAATTCATAAGTATGTGTGTGTATAAGCTGAATGTTCATGTGGTGTGTATTACCTGTAGTTCCCAGAGGACTGCCAGCACGTAAGCAGCCCACACACAGTGCACTGTTTAAAATAGTATTTAAATCTTCATTAAACAGGAAATATGAAAACACTGATAAATATTCCTGCATGTGTGAGGCAGTGTGGTCCACGTTCTCTATGTACACAGATAAAGCATGACTAAAAACTAAAAAGATAAGCCTGACCTTGACCTCAAATCAATGCAAAATGACTGTAGTCAACAATCCAGATGGAAGGGTGTGGAAAGGGGTTCATTCTGCTCATGTCCAGCTCCATATTTTTAATGTTGGACTCTAGAGTAGCTTTGCTTGACTCCCACAAGTAGGTCCCTTTTAACTCTTTTAGTCCCTGAAAGCTCACTAGAAGAAATGCTTGAATTTCTTTTCTCAACAGAGTAGTTTCTGTCATATTCCAGGCCTGCTTAAGAAGGAAATGACTGGGTTTGCATCAGAAATTAATGAGGATGGTTTCTGCATATGCAGCTACCTGTTGGAAAAACCTGGACACTATTCTAACGGTCGTCAAATCACGTCTTTATTAATATATTCTGAGGTGTAAAAAAATCACCATCATGGTTTCGGGGGAGGTTATCAAATGTTGTCTTTATGGAGAAAAGAGTAAAGGAACAATCAGAGTAAGAGTAATAAGTTTTCCCCTCCTGTGTCTCCCTGCAGTACTCTGTATTGGACAGACTGGAACAGAGAGGCCCCTAAGATCGAGAGCTCATCAGTGGATGGTCAAAACCGCCAGGTGATAGTGTCTGATGGGATTGGTTTGCCAAATGCTCTAACATATGACTCTGCTACTGAACAGATCTGCTGGGCTGACGCAGGTAAACATGGCCTCTATGCTGATGCTGCATTCATGTGAATTGGTGCCTTATTTATTGTCCCAGGGTTTTAAGACATCTGTAAACAGTGTACAGCTGCCTCTCAGACTATATACTGTCATATCTTGCTTCTTGAGATAGTTGAAAACTCTTCAGTTAAAAGTTAATACTCTGGAATTTACCTAACCTATATTTTCTTGATGTTGTAATGAGCCATGCTGTGTTCCTGTGTCTGTCAGGTACAAAGCGTCTAGAGTGTATATCCTCAGATGGTTCAGGTCGAAGAGTAATCCACGCCAACCTCAACTACCCATTCAGCATGGTCTACTACAGGAACCACTTCTATTACACTGACTGGCGGAGGTAGTCTTCATTCATCTCCCTCTACTCAGATCACAGTGGTGGTTGCAGTTCAATAAGTTGATATGTGTATATCGCTGATATCATTCCTCTCTAACCTGTTACTCACAGGGATGGTGTGATTGCAGTGAACAAACACAGAAGTCTGTTCACTGATGAGTACTTGCCTGAGCAGCGCTCTCATTTGTATGGCATCACCGTAGCAACGACCCACTGCCTACCAGGTGAGATATATTGTGTAATCAGAGTCCGTCTTTCAAGTTTGAAGGAACATCCACCCATCCATCCATTTTCTTAACCACTTGTCCAGTTAAGAGTTATGGCAGGGGGCAGAGCTGGAGCCTATCCCAGCTGTCATTGGGTGAAACGCCGGATATACCCTGGATAGGCTGCCAGTCTGTCACAGGGCTAAACTGAAGGAAAACTAACTGTATTATGCACACACTCTAACTTAAAGGAGTTGCAGACAGTGAACTCATTAGTTTGTGTACCAACTTTGCTTTTCCTGCACTGCACTTTCCTATAATCTCACAGATCCTTTGAAAAACATGACATTTGACAGTATGAATGAAATGAAACTAGATGCCTTCAGCAACATGTTGTGCAGGCTGCATATCCACTGATTACAGTTCCTCTGAAATGAATGGTGTTACTTGTGTGAGATTTACATTTCTCTCAGTTCATCAGAAACATTTCTGAGTAGGGTATCTTTCTGCCATCTGTTGCTATCCTTAAGAATCGTTATCACCCATTATTGTTCTCTCTAACCAGGACATGCAGCTACTGTGCTCAGTTTTTAAAACCTTACGATGTAACTACAGCCCAGCCCATGCAGCAGTATATTAATAACTAACCTCGTATTGTGGATGGATTATCTCAGTTGTTCTCCTGACTGAAGTTTGGTCCATTTACAGGATCCTGCCATGGGATTGCATTTGTCCCTAACCATCAGGAACCCTCATGTTAACTTTTCTCAAGTGGAAAAAAGTTAGCATTCATCCTCCAGCTTCACTGTGTTTGCTATGTTATGCTAACCATAGCTGTGTAGCTAGCCACCACGCAGCACTTCATTATATACGAGCTAGTCCAACTTCTGTGACCCTACAAACGTCACTACTGTTTAGTTTCCTGCCATCATTTATGTTGGAAGTGATAGCAGAGCTGTACGTTTTAATTTTTTCAGAAATCCATGTTACTGATAAAGGTTAATCAAACTGGTTTCTTTGGGCAGTCTTTGTTGTTGGAAGTAATCACAGCTCGTGTTTGATCACTCTGCACTCATCACACAGCTGGCTAACACCCACCACTCTGCAGATATATGTGTCTGAGGGGTGACTTCACATACACCCATGAAATAGACAGGAACAAAGATTGCACAGCTGTCTGTGACCCTCTATTTGTGACCTGCGTGTGTGAGAGACCAAAGAACAAAGATTACACAGCTGTGTGCGACCCTCTACCTGTTTTTTTGCACGCATCATGTTTGATGTGTTGTCTGCAGATGGCTTCGAGTCCTTTCAAAGCCTCATGTTAAAGTACAAAGTACACAGGATAATCCCTAAAGTAGCACTTTGGCAAATGTCACCATTAAAGCTACACACATCTGCAGAGTACATAATCTCGTCACAATGCATCTGCCTTTGAAAACAGTCGGAAGGAACACTATCACTGGTGTGTGTTGCTGTAAAAGTCACATCCTTCAACAGTCAGACTAGATTATAGTCGCTAGCTTTAAAGATGACGATGTGTGGTGTAATTGTTGCCATGATGACAGGTCTAAAACACAGATCCTGAAGTTTAGGGAGGAGCTTGCGAGAGGCTTAAAAGCTCTTATTGTGCAATACATAAATATACACACATTCTTTACAGAGATAATTCTCAGTCGCTTCCAGTTACAAAGTGCACGACTGTTTGTTCTGTCATTAGAGCACTGCAGCGCCCACGTTTTCATCCTGTCACATTTGGATTCACACAGAAAATGAAACCTTTAACCTCTCATTTTAACTTATCCTTAAAGTACTTCCACTATGGGATGATGATTCAAAGTGATGAGCTTTTATCTTTGTGTGTGTGTGTCACAGGGAGCCACTAACGACAGCCTGCACCCGCAGTGTGCTTTGGTGCTAAAGTTCTAAGGCGATTCATGGACATAAGGCAGGTCCAGGCCCTCTGGTGTCCCTCTGGAAAAAGGACACTCAGCAGGGAGCAAAGATGGCTTACGACAGCCAGATCAGCAATCAGAGCAAATTTACACCCACTTCAACCCCAGTATCTCACCTTAATGTAACCCAAAGTAAATGATTTGTAAATTTGTTTTATACCTCATTTTTAGTTTTTTTCTACTGTATTTTTGTATTGCTTGAGATTTTTGTTTTTCTGTTGAATAAAGGTGCAGAACAATGAAATCAGATGTTAAAATGCATGGTTGTAGTTTTGGGGGGTTTAATTGTACTTTAAAGCCAAAGAAGAATAATTTGAAGCTTTTCCTTTTGGGAAAACTAACATCAAGCTGTTGGGTTTTTTTTTTATATATCAACAAATAACATTGGCCATTAGGTTGAGAAGTTACAGATGCACTCATAGTGGTCTCTGGTTAACAACAAGAACAACTGCACATTAGAGGTGCAGTCTGGCTTTTTGGGAAATACTTTTTGGGAATAATACTGCACTCACATCTGTGAGCTAAATACACAGACTAAGAAAAAACTGGATATATGGACAAAGTCTTGCCACACATTACACTTAAAGGAGTTGCTCAACCATGGAAACCCATGCCATGAAGTTCCTAGCACACAGCTTTTTGTGCTGATGTTAATGACAGAGCAGGTTCGAAACTCAGCGGTAACTGAGTTAGCAGATTTTGGCGACTTTTGCGCACTTCGTGTCGCAGCACTTTATGTGGTTTGATAATGTGTCCAAATTGTAATAAAACAACACTTATGTCTTTGTTACACTGAAGCTAGTTCTGCCCATAAAATGCTAGCATTATGCTAATGTCTGTTAAAGATTTACATCAGAAAATGCTTGATTGATGTTAGACTTTAGGTACACTTTAGAAGTTGGTTGGTGACTGTTATTAGGAGATATTGTCTGGCTACTGCTCCACCGAGCCCCTTTCATTCTGGACTGTCTTGTAAACCGTCTGTAAGAAATAACAGTTAAGAGAATAAGAGCTCTGAGACATTAAACTCTCAGCGTGCAAAGTCCTAGTTTCTCAGTGAGATCTATGCCATGCTGTCTTACACCTTGGCATTTCACTCAGGCTACGTCCACACGTATTTTTGAAAACTGAGATTTTCCGGTTCTGTTTTTTTTTTTTTTTTTTTTTTAAATCCTGTCCACGCGTAAACGCAAAAACGAAGGACAACGCTGCTAGGAACATGCCAAAACAATAGGTGGCGATATATTCCTAACCGTGTAGAAATATTGGCCAATCAGAAGCCTAGAAGCCTGGGTGGGAAAGAGTAAACAAAGATGGCGCTTAGAAGCAGAACTGAGTCCTGTGTGTGGCGGGACATAAACTGTGTGTATATATGTAAGCATTTAAACAGTAAAATTAACAGTAACAGTATTTTCTCTAAGTCCGCCATTGTAGAAATTTATTTCACCGAAACAATAACGTGGCGCACAGTGTGACGTCAAAAAAGGCGCACACCTTTGACGCTGCGTTTTCTCCGTTTTCCTCGTCCACACGTAAACGCAAAAACTGAGTTTTTAAAAATCTCTGTTTTTAGTGACCGGAAATGTCGTTTACGTGTGGACGAAAGGTGCAAACGCATAGAAAAATCTGCGTTTTCAAAAATACCCAGGTACATGGGGACATAGCCTCAGTGGGTAAAGTCACAGTGGCTACTTTCTTCTTTTATATACAGTATATGCTTAAACATAAAGCCACAGTCAGAAGAAGACTGGTTTACCATCAGTGAACGAGTGGAAGCAGGGATAAAATACAGCACCTAACACTAAAGATTAAAGATGACTTGATTCTTTTATTTCAGCAAAGTAAAATGTAAGAGCATCTTTTTCCCCAAATGTATCGATACCTGCCAAGGAATCATGATAGTTGTAACCCTTGTCACTGATACTGTTGTATGCTTACCAGTTTTTGTAATCCAATTACTATAATCGGAGTATGTTTCTCCAGCCTCCCCCATCCAATCAGCCCTACTATATATAGCTGCACTACTAATTGTATTTTACACAAATGACATTTTTTTAGCAAATACTTTTTCTTCTTCTACTTTAATTTTTTCATAAGGTGTGATATTTAAAAAATAAAATGTGACTTGTTACGGGAGATGCTTTTTGAACATTTGTCTGATTCACCACAAAAGTGCAGGAGTCAAACTGTGTGCAGCTGGATTTATATATTTTCCCCTCCCACCTGAAAATAACAATTTCTGTCCATCTGCAAAGAATATTTCATCAGAAACACCAGAAACAAATATAACAGTCAGTTTGAATATTGCAGAAGAAAAGATGCCGTTTCAGAACCTTTAAACTTTGTTACTGGATAATTAATGGAAACCATTTTTTATTATTATTATTATTTATACATTATTAAGTTTTAAGAACTTATCCAGGCTGCATGTCCACACATGAACACTTGGGTCTTTTATTTATGAGATTCCCAATTTAAACAGTCCGATCTCATGCAACAACGGAAAAAAAAAATCAACAAAAATTCTTTGATGTCCTTTAACCAAACAAAAGGTTTTTCCTCTCAAAAATCAAATCAGGTTCAGTCCCTCACTTCCTTTGCGGTCCGTCACCGTCCTCGCTCTCATCTGCCAACCTTGCCCAGCCGGTGGTCTGTCTTGGGGTCGGCTATGATGGCCTGAACAGCTACGATGGCCTCGTTGATCTTGGTTTGCAGCTCCCTCAGCTCCTCAATGTGCAGCAGGCGCAGGATCTGAGCCGCTTCGTTTAGAGTTGCATCTGAGGAGAAAAGACATTATTTTTACCAAAAGCTGACCAATACTTTAAGAGAAGCAATTCTTATGAACTGTGGGCAGACCGATTGTCATAGCATTTGCTCATCGGCTTTCAGCCTTTCTGCTGAAAAAATTCTTTAAATAAATAACTCACCTCCAGTGTCAAAACCCAAGATGTGCTTGTCTAAAGCTACTGGAACACCCTGTAGGAAAAAAGAAAATATAGCTGGCTGAGTTTTGTCAGTAACGCCGCTGAAATCATGGCTCTAGACTTGCAGCAGTCTATACACAGACATATGATTTTTGATGCATATTATGCACATGTGTCTTCAGTTTACCTCTCTATTGTTGCTGGCTTTAGCAATGGCTTCTGGAGAAAGTCTCTCTTGGATCAAAATACGAATGGCCTGGCAGTTGCAAAGAAAAACAAGAAAAACTCTTCTTAATGATTTGAGATCATTCTAATACATAAGACTTCCATTAAAAAAACAAAAAAAACCCATTCCCTTAATATGGTTAACAGGATTACTTTCTATTGCGAGTGGCAAGTGAAAGTGCAAAATTTCTATTCTGCATTTTTTGAGTGCCAACTATTATCTCCATGTTATCAGTCTGACCATTACCCTGCATTAAAAGAACAACTCAGGGCTGCCGGCTCACATGGAAAGCATTAAATCATTTTAAGGGCTTTTATTGTGAAGCAAACGCAAACTTCACCTTCCTCTGTGCCCAGGTAAGCTTTGCTACAGTATTAAAGAGCCCTTTAGTGCGCTCTCACCTTAAGCATAACCAGGTAGTCATCATGCCGCTGTATCTTGAGGATGTTGGACAAAGCTGTTACTCCTGCTTTGAAATCTGGAGAATTACCTGAAAAAAACAACAACAAAAAAACAAAACAAAAAAACACACACACACACACACACACACACACACACACACACACACACACTTTAACTTTTATCCTGCAAAGATTTAAAGAGGGAAAGAAGAAAGAATGCCAGGACAGAGGAAGCTCAAATCCAAGTTTTACTTACTGTCGAGGTTAACCAGAGGGTCCATGGCTTTATTGCTGTTACTGGAAGCTGCCAGGGGTTGACAGTTTTTGTACTTCTCCACTATGAAGAGACACACAAAACACGTCACCGATGAACAGACTGACTTGCACTACATTAACAGGAGAGCTCACAGTAACGAGTAGAAGAGTAACAATTTCTTCTTCTTATTCTGCAGTAAAAGTAGACATATGATCTGACACTTAGCAAAAAGTATTCCTTTTGTAATGTCTCCATCTCCTGGTCATCGGTGGTATTTCAACTAGTGACACAGGCTAAAATGACAAGAATTTTTGTTCTAGTGGCACCAATAAAACAAAAAATGTCTTCATGTAACCTGTTATATGCACACAACTTAAAGGGTACGCAATAATAGATTGGTGATACTTTTTTCCCAGGGAACTGACTGGCCAGTAGGTGGCAATTTTGTGCACATTATCCCTTATCCTAACCATAACCTACTAAAAGTCCAATTAGGAGTGTGGCACACAACCGCGTTGATGTGAACCCCCTCTGCAAACCTGTAAATCCAAGTTAACCCTCAGGTTTCCCCAATAAACCCCTGCTCTGTAGCACAGCTCTCTACACGTACTGCATTCAATTCAGTTTTATTGATATAGCACCAAATCACAACAACAGACACCTCAAGGCACTTTATATTATAAGGCAAAGACTCTACAATAATACAGAGAGAAAACCCCGACAATCACATGACCAACTTTAAGAGAACACTTGGAAAACAGCAGGAAGGAAAAACTCCCTTACTGTAGCTACTTGCACTTTTGTACTTGATGGTGGTCCCCTCCAGTCTGGTTCTGCCAGGAGTTTTTTTTTTTTTTTAAGGGATTCTTGCGCTATACAAGTAAATATGACCCAAATGAAACCCCTTACCATTGTCTCCATATTCATACCGCACAGCAAGGCCCAGTAACCAATCTACAGCCTCCTTCCTCTCATCGACTTCAAATGGACAGTTCACATCCTGTAGGTACTGCACACAGGTAAAGAAAACTCAAACACAACTCACCGTCCTCCTCATATTATATCAGAAATGCAGTTTTATGTTAGTAATACCCATTAATAACAGCAGTGATTACTTTCAGATGATCCAGCAGTCTTACCTTTTGGTAGGCTTTGGGCCACTCTGAGCTGGGGATGTTTCTCAGGTTGCCTCGGTCTTCGATTTTATAATGTCGAATCTTCTGGTCCTCCAGCCACACAATGCAGTTCCTAAACTGTGTCTCATCTGAGCAGAAATTAGACAATACCGATAACAACACATCAGCAGCTACACATGGCAAGTAAGTGAAGGAGTGAATAAATAAAACTGAGGTTCCAAGACCATATCTGCTGAATCACTCACTACAGGACGCAAACAATTTACTTTGGCACCAGGGAGTAGCCAGCGTTTGAACTTACTGTGC